AATATAAAACAAGTTTTCAACACTCTAAGTCTTGTGTTCTTGAATCATCATCAAAATCAACAAACTTCATGTCCATCAAGTTCAACATCAAGTCCTTGAATGTTCAACACTCCTATGGCTCCTACTCTACAACCACACATTCCTCCACCTATGTCTACATTGCCACATATCCCCCCTTCTGTGGCTCCTACTCCACAACCACATATTCCTTCACCTATGTCTACATTGCCACATATCCCCCCTCCTGTGGATCCTTCTGTGGATACTACTCAACAATCACGTGTAGGACGTGAGTCTAGTAGAGTATGGACTGTCAATGTTATAGGTAATGATTTTAATTTATTTTAGACTGTATATTTTAGTTTCATTTTTAGTTGTTATCATTCAACTAATTATGTCACCCTTTTATAGATGAACAAGGAAATACAAAAATAGTTCAAATGACAAAACCAAGTGTGTTTGAGATGCCCCATGGTGAACGTATAGTTGTGCCATTTGATAGACAATTGCAAGCCTATGGAGAAGCAGCTTCACTTCTTTCATTAGCTTGTGGTCGTATTGTTAAAGATTCAAACAATGTTCCAATAAATTTTGGTAGTTGGCCAAGTGTTCCAAAATCATATAAGGATGATTGTGTTTAACACTTTAAAGGTATATGCATAAGCCAAGATTTACAACTTTGTTCTTGTTAAGGTTTATGATATACTAATTACATCTTTTTTTTTAGAATTTATTTCATTTCCAGACATAAGAAAACTCTGTTGAGCGATATTGTTCACTTTGCATATCAAATAAGTATAGAAATAGAAAGATGAATTTGTGGAACCGAGTCTATGATAGCTCATTATCAAGAGAGAAATTAATCGCTAATGTTCCTAATGGTATTCACAAAGATCAATGATCTTCATTTGTTGATTATCATCTAAGTTCAAAATATAAGGTAGTTATAACAAATAATTGTTATGAATAATTATTTTTTAAACTTGGTTTTGAATTAATAAGTTGTTTGTTTCATAGGAATTATGTAAGAGAAATATTGAAGTCAGAAAAAAACAAAAGATTCCTCATACTTGGTGGTGCAAAACTTTTATCTACAAAACAACATGAAATGGTAAATTATTTTTGTTTTATTGTTAAATTTAACAAAAGAAAAAATTATAGTATTCTTCTAAACTTATATGATAATGTATATTATAGGAAATAAATCTTGGACGTCCTGTAGGCCGATGAGAATTGTACATTGCAACTCACAAGAAAAAGAATGGATCTTATGTTAATGAGGAGACAAAATCTATAGTGGTAAGTTTAATAACAAGTAGTGTGTCTAAACATATGAAATTATACTCTTTCTATATATATGTCTTCTGGTTTTTAAGTTGGAAAACATGTTCTCATATGAGTACTTACTCTTATTTATGATTAGAATTTTATGACTTGAAAACTAAAAAAATTCATTTTACTATTAGAATTAACATAGTGTGGAATATGATTAAAGTATAAAGAATAAACCATTTGATACCAGGTCGTAGACCGATCACTAAGACCATCCGCAACTTCCCTTTGTACTCGATGATAACTTTGACTCTATTTTTATTCTAATTTAGGTATTTTCAATTTTTAATATTTTTTCTTCTTTTTATTTATTATTTGTAATATGAAAAAAACTAAATTTTTATTATTCAATGCGTGTTATTTGGTTGTCATATTTTAGTTTCACTACTTAATTTATCTTTGTTAGACTTGTTTGGTATTGGCTGAGAAGTTTCTTAATTATAATAACATCATACTGACAGAATCATCTTTATATTATTTCTATTATATACAATAGATAAGAACATGTACTAAAATATAATTTTGGTTTGTATGTGGGTGCTAATTTTACCTACCTAGACTTTGGTACTGTACTCACCCACCACTCAAAAGAAACATTATAATTTAGTGTTTGAAGCTTTGCATCTAGGATTCCAATTTCAAACCTCATATTTCAACAGCATATGGTGTAAACTTTGTCTTGTTTCAGTTTCTATATTTTGACCCAGAATCATATCATAAATCATAAACATATACAATGTTTGAGTTTAAGCTGTATTATTTAGTGTGGCCAAACTGATGTTATTGTCGAAAACAACTTTGTTGAGACAGAGCGTAATTAAAGGGATGTGCTAAAATTCTAAATTGAGATATCTCCATCTTTTCACTTCATTAGATATGTTAACATGCTTCAAGTTGTGACTTGTCAAATATCATGACTTTGCATCTACCTTATTTTACAACCTCCTTCGTATAATATTAATATGGATATCAAACAATTGTATTTATTCTATTTACAAGAGAAAATAACACAAGAAATGAGTCAAAGTGTCAATTTTACAGAAATGTCAACTAATGATTGTGTTAGTAAAGTACTGGGAAAGGATCATCTTGGGCGTGTACGTTGCCTAGGACTAGGAGGCCTTCATAGTGTTGCATTTCAGTCTACCACAAGATTTAGTAGTGTAGGGTGTAATTTCTCAAAATTTGATTCGAGTGGAAGCTCTCAATTGAAAGAGGAAGTTGTTCATTTAAGAAAAAAATTAGCAAATTCTGAAGAAAATGTCAAAACATTAAAAAGTGTCATGCTTGCATACATCCAAATGAAAGAAGGACATATTCCTCCTGAGTTAGGTGTCATGTTTGGTAGTACAAGTAATATAGTTGTAAGTAACTTATAGTTTGTTTTAAATGAAATTATATTATTTAATACTTGTATAAAGTTCAATATCTTATGTATAATTTCTAATTATGCTTACATGATATGATCTTTATTTTATAGGATGAAGAGAGTAGACAAGATATGTCAACACCACAAGGAGAATCATCTTTAGATAGTTATTTTCATAAAGTTTGACATTATATGTAAGTATTTCATATTTTTTGTTAATAGAATTATATTGTTAATTACTTCTATGGAGTTTAATATCTTTTTTATATATTTTTAATTATATTAAGTTGATAGTATTTTTATTTCACAGGATGAAGAAAGTAAATAAAATATGACAATATCATAGGAGGATACTCAATTGGATAGTAATTTTCATTAAGTTTGACATATATGTTGTGAAATTTGTGGATCTATTGACATCGTATCTTGTTAGATACTCTTTATTAATGAATAATGTCATGAATTTGATTGGATTTTTAGGATGAAATTTGATTCTATCTTGGTTGATATTGAATTATATTTAGCTAAACACTTTGTCAAAATAAATTATATCTAAAAACTACAAATTTAGTCATTTTTTTAGTGAGAATCAAACTAATATTTTATGTCATTAAAACAAATGAAAAATATATTATACATTTCATTCGATTTTTTTTAATATAAATAATTTAGTTTATTGATATTTCATATATTTAGATTATTGATTTTATTATAATGATAAAGTAATTCTAAATAAAAAAGTATTTTAATTATTAATTATAAAATTATTACAAAATAATTTGTAAATAATAATTAAAATTTTGATTTATTGATAAAATAATTAAAAAATAGTAATTAAAAAATTTGGCAGTTTTTTTAAACCTCAATAAGTTTTAAATAATTATAAAATATTATATATTTTGTAGCGGTTTTTAATTGTTAAAATATAAAATTAATCATAAAAATAACATTTGTAACAATTTAGAATTGTAACAAAATAGTAAATTAAAATGAGAATAATAATGTATTTTGTGATGGTTTTTAACGGTTGTAATTTTTTTTTATTTTTTGACAAAAATACTAGTATTTAAAAAATTTCTGTTACAAATCGTTAATATGACAGTTTTATTAATTACTAAAAATTTTATTTGTAATGATTTTTAATTTCTAAAATCTATAATTTTAACCGCCACAAATAACATATTTTTTTTAGTGAGAGAGTACTAATTATGTGTTATTTTTTTAAAATTAAATTAGTAAAATATAATTATTACTGAAGAAAATATTGGTATTGAAGATAATTATTTAAATTAAAATTTTATGGATATCTTTTATTTATATTTATGAAATTATTTTTTTTAACATTAATTTTATTTAAATTTGTACTATAATTTATTTGAGTTTATATTTTAGAAAAAAACTAATTTTATTTAATGCGCTTTTTTTAGTTATAATTTAAGATAATCTTTCTTTTTAGTTTATATTTTATTATGTATAAAAAGAATATTTAAGATAAAAAACAAATTCAAAATTATACGAATTAAAACATCAAATATCAAATTTCACTCCATTTTTTCATATCCTGCATCAAATACAATGAAGACTTTGACATTTCTCAAAAAGAAAATCTTCAAAATAGAACTAACATTGATTGTGTAATTAAAACATGACCTGGTAAAACTAAAATTGATTGTGAATCAAATACCAAATAATTAACGTTGAATGTTCTAGCACTAATACACATTTCTTAAACTTAAAAACTCAATCTTTTATGGTGGGTTTGTAACAAAGTTTTCATTTTGAAGATGTCAACTAAAACTGCTAACCAAATGAATAAGAAAACCAATCAGCATTTTAACCAAGAGGAGAAGGCAGTGTGAATATTTGCATCTCTTATAAGAACTGACTATAATGTGTTTTAACATGATCAAGTTGAATGAATTAAACTGTATATTAAGCATAAACTTGTATTCAGCAGTGAGGATAATTAATAATAAAGTGAAAAGATAAAGGACTAAATTGAAAAACAAATAAAAAAAAATTAGAACTTTAAATGATTTTCTAAGGTAGATTGCAAATTAAAGGTTTAAACTTATTTTTTTATATTATTAACATGACAAAAGTGTTCTCGAAAACCTATATTTACAGATACAAAAAACTGCACTTATCACACTAGAAAAGAAAGGTGATCCACCAGAAATATTTAACAAAATTTGCAGATGATTAAATTTCTCGAGCATGTGTTGACCAGTGACTGTGTTTATGAGAGGAAAAGTGCATTCAACCATCTCTATGCAACCAGTTCTAAGCCTGAGAGAGATTAATGTTTCACATGTGAAGATGACCTAGATTCAGAAAACAAACAGAAGCATAAGAAACTTGTGCAGAAGCTACACATGCACACAGCTTAGCCACTTCACATAATAAAAATATACACAAATTATGAAAAGGGTTTGAGTTTTGTTAATTTTACGTGTGATTTGTCTCCATTTCTTGTCCGGTCCATTGCCGCATTCGCTCTGATGCTTGCTCAACCTGAAATTTGAGCTTAATTAGGAATGAAAAAGAAGAAGATCCAACATGTAATTGTATTTTTTTTTATCATGGTCAATTGTTTTAGTTGCTGAAATATGATGATTAATTTAATGATTGTCCAGAAAATCACTGATTCTCACCTCCTTGTTCCAGTTGGTTTTATAGACAATGACCAGCAAGATGAACGTTTGCAATGCTGTCCCACAGATCATTCCAATCCAAATACCCTGCAACAACACTTTCCATAGTCAATTTATAAGTATCTTTAGTCTCTAATTAATGGTGAGAATTAAATTGTAATAGAATTGAATTTTGGCATTTAGACACACTGGCTAATTAAACAGAAGAAACTATTCCAGATTGGAACAACTCTTGCAGAAAATTGCTATGTTTTGCCTCATCTATTTGATGATGAAATTGGGTGGTTTTGATTTGAGAGAAAATGGTGTAGACTTACCTCCACTCTATAACCCAACTTGTAACCAAAAAAAAAGCCAAGAGGGAGTCCCAGGATATAATAGCAAAATAAATTGATGTAAGCTACCAAATACTGCCAACCCCCTCCAACAGCAACACCTGAAAGAATATCAGAAGCATTCCATGATTTTCCTAACATCACATAATGATTTATACAATACAAATCACTGGGATCCTCTTACCTGATATAACTGGCTGAACACTATTCAGAATCATGGTTATTCCAAGAAGGTTTGCTAATTTGGAAACTGCTTTTATCATTTCTTTACTTGTAGTGAAAACGATAGCAAAATGATCTTTTGTAATTAAAATAATGGCTGCACAAAGTAACCCAATGATGAGGGACTCTAGAATTGTCACAAGCACTGAATATTTTGCTGCTCTTGGGCGTCCTAATCCAAGCTCATTTGAAACCCTCACACTGAGAAAATGAAAAAAATAAAATAAAAATTAAAGTAAATAATTCATAGAAGTTGTAAAAATAACCTTGACACACACACACAAAAAAAGGCACAGATGAGGAATTTACCTGATTGCTGCATTGATCCCTATGAATAACATTCCTTCCCATCCATTTATATTCATGCTGGAAGAGAAAATACAGAACAAGTATCAAATACTATGTTCTAAGACTATTTAAGAGATCAACCTTAGAAAATAACATAACCAATATTGCTCAACGTTATTGAGTTGCCCCTATTTTTATAAATCAGTATTATAACAGAAAAATATAAGAAAATAAAATTAATATTTTTTTATAAATTTAAAGTTAGCTTACATATTATATAAGCTAATTTAATTTGTAAATATTAATTTATTTATTCGAAGAAGGTTAAGGGAAAGAAAGCGGGGATTCTATTATTGAATACGCATCAATGTCAAAAGCATGTGTTAAATATCACCCAAATATTATTCTCTTATTGTTCTTGTTTTTAAAAGTTTGAATAAAAAAAAATGAAAAACTTGGAGCTATTTGATTTTTTTTGTTTTAAAAATTATTTTTGAAAATAATTTCATTCTTCTTATGGTCAAATTTTCTTTTTTATAAAAGGCTATATCCTAAACATGATTAGAAAATTTGACGTTCCAACTACATTAATACCTTATATCTCGTGAATTTTATTGTCAATTTAAATATTGTATCTTTCGAAACTTGTTTTCAAAACAATAGTGTTTTGAAAAAAAAAAAAAATATATATATATATATATATATATATATATATATATATATATATATATATATATATATATATATATATATATATATATATATAGAAGATGCCTTGATTTTCAGGGAAGTGATTAAGATAAGATAATTATTATATCTTATTGTAAATAATTAACAATTGTTTGATGTATTGATAAAATATGCTCTTAAACTTATTTTGTTTATTTGAAGAAAAAAGATGAGTTAGAAAATAATAAGAAAGGATAATCATTTTTACTCTTTTAAGTGCCTCAACTATCTCGATCCTCTTTATTGTTATTTCAACCACTGTCATATATATTATCTTTATCATCAACTCTTTCTCATGAAAAATCTATTACTATTAGTGTCATCACTCTTATCATGATCATTCTTATAGTCCTTCACTCTCTCCATTTTTCTATATTCATTGTGATAACTACACATAGTTTCCATCAAACTGGTTTATCATTATTTGATTTTTATGTGTATCAATCATTGAATAATCTTAGTGTTATTTTTGTCATATTTTATGCTATAATCCTTTTAATTTATTATATTATTAATAATCAAACGATTAGTACCACTAACTTTAAAAAAATAATTCAACTCTGTTTATGAAAAACAAATCTTTATTGATTGTCGTTTTGAGTTTTTGTTTATACAAGTGTTTGAAAAGAAAAAGCAAAGTGAAAAAACCTTGGTAAGGCCTAGCTAACCATGTTTCAATTGAAAGGTGATATATAGAAGAAGATATGGGAAGAGAATGTAGTTGTGAGGATATGATCTTACCATATTGAAAGAGAACCAACAGCAATAACTGGATTGTCAAGGTGTCCAGTGAGCACAATCAAGATCATAAAATACCAAACCTCTAAGCAAAGCATGATTGCAGAAGCAACTGACAATTTGATGAAGGCCCAAAGATCCTTGAAGGCTAACCAAGAGAAGCCTGTCCACCCTTCCTTGCACCAACCAATGACATAGGCAGTTTGAGCCAAAGCAATGATCCAAGCTGTTAGACAATAGGCTATAGCAGCACCACTTGTACCCATAGCAAGCACTTTCATTAAAATAACAAGAATAATGACATGTAAAATAAGGGCTCCAAAACCCAACCATGCCAGGAAACCCACTTTGCTTTGTGCCTGCAAGAACTTTTGGGTAGGGAAATTCACTGCTAGAGAAAACATCTGAGGGATAGATTGAATAGTGAATACTCCAGCTAACTCAGCAATTTCACGTTCTTGTCCAAGGAGTATAAGGATTCTCTCAGAATAAATGTAAATTGGCATTAGGCAGATGCATCCACCCAATAAGATTATCCAAGAACGTTGCATGTAAACCCCTAGCATTTCTACTTGTCCAGCACCAAATGCTTGCCCACATAGAGTCTCTAGTGCACTTGCCATGCCAAGCTGCAAACAGCATTTTATTAGAAACAAGTCAAATATACATACAATTTGTTGCCAGAAAGTGTATGCATGTCTACATAAATTAGTCTTTTGTAGGATGAAATTGTTGATGTGTTGATGGCTTAATTAGTGAGAAGAACTAGTTAACAAATTGACATTTTCAAGTATCATATTGTATAGAATTGCTCTTTCAAGTATCAAATTCAAAGCCACAAAGATTGCCAGCCACCTGATTGTGGATTAACCACAGAAAAACTGCCAGAAATGCAAAAACTCAGATCGTCACTGATTTCAATTTAAAAATGACATGGAAAAGAAAAGTGAGTGCATGTTGCTTCGGTTGATTTTCTATTTGAAGTGAAAATTTTCCAATTAATTAGAAGGTTGTCTTAACTAGAACGAATGTCTATTGTCTAATAACGAGAGGAAGTCACATATTCATGTGGGGACTTTAGAAGTTAGCTGCAGTTAAGAAAGGTAAACATCACATGCCATTCAAGAAATCATGGAAAATAGCCAAGCATGAATTGTCTATATTGCCGTGTAAATAATAACAGTAAAAAGAAAACATGGGAAAAGAACCACGAGTTCATAGATGTTAGAAGCTAACCAAGAAGCCAAAAGAGAAATTTGAAATGACAGAGAGAGAGATTGAAACAGCAGAGAGTTCCAAATCTCCAAGATGGCCAACAAAGATACTTGTAAAGGAATTGACACCATAATTGCACAGTATGCTGAAGGCAATAGGGCCAGCAATTGCCCAAAGCTTTAAGGATTCCGCAGAGAACACACTTCTAAAATCTGCAAAGCAAGTAATTCTGGAGTAGTCTTCTATGTTTGTGTCAATTGGACCCTCAGGAGCATGGTGGAGCTCTGTGTTATCCATGGAACTGACAGTATTGAACAATGGTGTCTCTCCCTCCTTTGATGTTTTCTTAGGAGAGTTTTCAGAAGAGGAGGATGAGCTACTGCTCCTTCCTCCATTTTGTTTTTTGTTATCTTCACCTATTTTGGCAGATTTTCTATGAACCCTTTTTTTTTCTCAGCTCTTGGAATGAATGAGACGGTTGCATGCAGAACTAATTAACTCATGCAAGAAAAGTGGAGAGAAAAGAAAAAGTGCCTTGAAAACAAGGAGAAAAGTGGTCTTGTGAATGGTTTTTACTTCCTTCTATTTTCTTTTTGTCTCTGTATGAACAACTTTTTCTTATTGTTTTCTTTGTTTTCTTGACACAAGATTTTTTTGGCTAAAATTTAGGCTTGCCTTAGAATGAATTCATGACCAAGAAACGGATTAGACGACTTAGTCTCCTCCATTCTCTAACTAACGCACACACATTTCTTTTTTCTCAGCAAAAAAAAATAAAAAAATTACCGTTATTTACTGTTTTCTGCGTTTTTATTTGCGTTGGCCAAAGATAGAAATCATAGAATGACACTAGTAGCATTTGTGCATCACATATAATAGGTAAAAATTTATATGGAATGGTGAGTTATTTGATTTATATATGTCAAAAACATGGAAGTTGCTCCAATAATAGCATCATATATTAGTATTTCCTTGAAGTTACTTTAATTGTTGGAGTTACTGTTTGAATTAATTATTTGAGTTATTGTTTGAATGTTTTATGTTTTTCAAACAAATGCGTCATATCATTTCATTAATATTAGTAACATTTATACAAGCAAAAAAACAAACATTCTTAGTTGTTCTTAAATTGTGTAAGTTATCTTAATTATTGTTTGAGTTACTATTCTTAACCATAGATCAAGTATAGAAAGAAAAGATGAAAGAGTGTTTTTGATCTATCTTTACCCATTGTCATCATTAATGAAAAAGTATTTACCTCTTAGTTGGTGTATTTAAACTATGAACTTAGTATGCTTAGTTTGCATATCAATTAGTAAGAAATTGATCAACAATTCTTTGAATAAGTGTTTGGTACGAATTTGTTTACCATATAATTTTCTTTTTCGTAATTCTTATAAATCATGATTTCTGATAATTATGATTCTTAGAAATGGTTCAATTTTGTTTAGTTGAAAAAAAAATTCCACTGTGAAACTTTAATAGAGTAACGTGTTAATTTTACTAAAATCTTTAATTTATTATTACTATTTTAATAAAAGTTTAAATGTCTTTTTACTTCCTACAAAAATATTTGTTTGTTTTATATTTCTAACATTTTCTAATATTTAATCTTTATATTTTAATTAATCTAATTAAGACAACAAAAAATATTTTAAACTAATAAAATTATATATTTTTTCACACAATTTAATCAAATAATATATTTATTATTAAAAATAAGGTAATTATATATATATATATATTATTTTTAATTTTTCGTTTAATTATTTTATTTTATTTTTAATGTTGCATTTTTATTTTAAATAATTTTGTTTTATTTAAAGTTTATTTTCTAGATACTCATTTTGATATTATAATATTGAACTCAATCGTTATATAATATTTCTGTAATATATCATAAACAATAATTTTATCTCTAAAGACAAAAAATAGTAGAATATTTTTTGTATTTTTAAAATTTATATAATATAATATATTAAAATTTTATGTAATATAAACAAATGATCATTAATTAAAATATACTTAAATTTCTCCAATTTAATTTCAAATATTTGACATTTTTTCAATACTATATTTAGTTTATCATTAATTATAATTAATTTAGTACTAAAAAATAAAATATTAACTAAAATAATTTTATTCATAAATAATATAATTACATATAATAAGATAATTATTTATAAATAATTAAAAGACCTTTTATACTATTTTTTTAAATAACAAATAATTTTTAAATTAAAAAATATTATTAAAATAAAATTATTATATATAATTTTCATTTTATAACTATAAATTTATCATTTCACATATAAAGAATAGTTACTGACATAATATATTAATATATTATGAATAAAATTATTTCATATTAGTTTTAAATTATGTTAATGAAAAATATAATTCTTTTTTTAATATTACATATAATTTTAAAAATATTTGAATGAATTATTCTTAAAAATATAAACATATCATAATATTTTATCTAGAGATAATTTTTTATGATATATTAAAAAATAAATGATTTTTTATTAAAAAGTAAATTATTGGTTGAAAAATAAAAATTATATATATATATATATATATATATATATATATATTTATATATTGTCTTATTTAAAAACTAAAATTCTACCCAAAAAAATCTAGTTATCTTAATTTGAAATTTAGTTGTTGGAATGTCCTAGTTTCCTTTTCAACTCCCATCTAATTGGTATTGGAATTGACCTCAAATTGTATGCCACCAAAAATTGGTGGAGCCTGAAATTAAATCACCATCTTTCTTTCTTCCCTCAACGTTACAATTACTGCAAAACACAATCCGCATTGTTAGGCATGATTCATGAGAGTGATGAATGCTGTTTTATAGGTAAATTAGATCTCATACACCCACTTTATTCAATTCTCATTGTTCATAATGCTGTTTAATACATCAACTTTTACTTAGAAATAAAATTAGGTTTGTAAAATTTTTTATTTTGAGAAAAAGGAAAAAATAAAAATAAACAGATATATTCCTTTGTCCAAAATGTGTACCTCATAGCTTGTTATAGTTTATCTATATAAACTAAATAATTGCATAAATTATTAGACAACCATAAATTTAATGTATAATAATTAGTAAAAAATAGTTGACTGGTTGATTTTATTTAGATTCATCTCAATTCTTAATCATAAGTTTATTTAATATCTAAATCCATTACCACCCAATTTAATGTTGTTCGGATTAGATTCAATCAAACTAAAATCTAAATTCATTTAATTGATTAAGTTCGAATTATGATATTGAAAAGATTATCCCAACTAATAAACAGCCCTAATAATTGGAATTCGGGTACTAAAAGAAAGGAGTGAAAGAAAATTGAATAGGAAAAGAAGAAGAAGTTATTGTATACTTAATAAATTACTCATTGCAAATACAGCAAAAACATAGAACCCAGAATCCACTAGGATATATGTATATATACACAAATAAATATTGAGAAATATTTTACAAGAGAATGGAAAGCAGTAAATCAACACAAGAAAAAGCATCTGTGAACATGAATGTTGGAATGTAGGAAACTGTTGCTTGTTTCATTAATAATAATAATGGGTAAATCTGACCAAAGAAATTGCATTTGCAAGAGATATGCTATATGGTGTATCTTTCTGTCGAAACCTTTTTTCTTCTGGCAGATACTCCATGGCTGGGCCTACTAAAATAATTACTTTGTCTTGCACCATGAAGTGAAAATGAATATTTAGCTACCATCATCCAACCAATTATCATACAATGAACTTCATCTATCTTTCATCCATTTAAAAGGCTTTGATTCTAAAACAACCAAACTAATTTGTTGTCTGGTCAAAATATCATCTCCTGTAACATCCAAGGAAAAACAGTATTGTCAGCAACGAAAATACAGTATTGATCATCTCCATAATCAAAATATCATGATTGACTAGCAACAAAAGTGATCATGCAGATATTATTTTATTGTCAACAATAGTGAATGATCAGCATCTTATTGGGACTTGTAGAGTTAGTTTGTCAAGAAAACAACAGGAAAACTATTTTTTCACCTCTCTTCCTTTCTTAATTCCTATATTTAGGACTTAACGGAAAAATCCAAAAGACTAGTCCATTAGGTGAGAGAGGCTTAAATAGTACATCAAGTAGTTCATTCTACTCAACATGAGACTCTTTCACTCTATAGACACTGATCAACCAGTGGTAATCCCTTTTTTTATGATTTTACTTATGTATCAGTATTCGTTTTGCACCCCTTAAGCGAGGCTATAGGTAGCACATTGTTAAGACTTAAACATAAAAGGAGAAAGGAGAATCCAAATGACCAATTCATTAGAACCTCAAAGCTTAAGAACCACATCAAATAGGTCATTTTACTCAATTTGGGACTCCTAACACATGATTATGACAATTTTTGCATGTTTGAATCGACTTATTTTGAAGAAATAATCACTTATTTTTACCAGTTTTCTGAGATAGCGAATGCAAGATAAGCAATTATCTTTCTAAATTTATGCATATTACTAAACATGCTTTAATGGAAACAAGTCTACGATGAGTTTTTTCATGTAATACAGAACGAATGCAAAAGCCAAACCTGATCACATATAGGACAGGAGTCACTTCTTTCCATCCACTCAAGAATGCAAGATAGGTGAAAATGGTGTTCACATTTTGTCAAATCTCTAGGATTTTCAACATCATATTCTGCGTTAGAAATAAAAGATATCAAATTATTATTTTTGTTATCTGTGTGTGTGAAAGAGGATTCATTCCTCTTGATTCGCACGCCTGAAACATGGAAAATCTAACTGACAGATTTACTTTTAATTAAACAAGCAACTGTACCTTCAAGACAAATTGGACAGACATCCTCTTCTTCCATCACTAATAATTTAGTTTCATTTGATTTTGATAATTCTTCCTTCCTTGGAGATGTTGGAGAGGAGTTGGTTTGAGCTTTACAATTTGATTCTTCAACATCTTCACGTGTGATTAAAGTTTCAAAACTACTAACTGTTTCTCTGCCAGATTCAGAATATGTTGATGCAGAGCCTCCCAAGACTGTGTCATAAGGAAGAGGGACCGGAGGGGGCTGAAAAGTATCAGGCATGGATGCTTCTATGTTCAAACCAACCAGATATCCAGCATTGAGTGAAGCATTTGTGCCATCATTAGATGTTAAAGACTCACGCTCTTCAAAAGTCGGTGGGCACTGCAAACAGGACTTTTTAGGCTTCAATCATAAGCTCATAAACCATAATCTAAAACAACAAACTAATATCAAGATCAGATTACTATTCTGGAGCAAATTGCAATATGACAATGAAATTCTGAGATGATAATCATACACCTCATTCTATTCAGTATAATATCCATAAAGCCAAGTCCAACCTAAGAAAATATCAATTTAAATGTGAAGGTAGTCACAGATGTTTATTTGACTTCCTTACCATTTATCCACCAAAACTTATTACTGATAAAAACAAACAACTTAACAGAAATTCATTTTCAAAAAGATAAAAAGAGAGAAAAATAATTTCTTTTGAGCTTTAACAACATTCAATTGTTTTGCATTCGAGCACACATCTTCCCCTGCATTCCATCCAAGTAGCAGCTTTTCAAAATCACTTTGAGTGTCATGAATGCGATTTCTTGATGATACCATACTTGATTCAACTATAAAAGTAATATTCAATAGCTCTCATTTTAGTAAGGATTCTAATATTATGTTAGAAAATTGTGCTGAAGTCCAAAATGCAGCAATAAATCCATGTTGCTAAATTACTACACAGGAAACTGTTTGATCTTTCAATTGAGTGAATCTTCAGGGACATTTCATCCAAAAAAATAGTAATCTAGTAAAGAAAATAAAGCAGAAATAATATCCTATTACCCAATGGTTCCGTCATAACAACCATTTTTAATACTTTCAGAGCAAGTTGATTGTGAAATAGTTTGAATTTTCCTTTACGTAGTTTTTCGCTCAATCATTGCTAATGCTAATGATTAAAAGATTACATAGGTGAGGATGTAGAAAGTAAAAATGCTGAAGTGAGATTACTAGAAAAATTCTTATCAGCAACCATATGGCCCAAGCTACAAATCAGGTAAGAGAGGATAGGAAACTACTAACATAGTAATACACTGGTGCCCCTCGCAGATTAGATTTTCTGGCAGAACAACAGCAACCTCCCATTTTCCACTAATTCTTTTGTTATTTACTCAAAAAACCATTGATAGTTTCATTATCTTCTGTTGTTTGGAATGACGCCCGAATCAGATCAGAGGCCACCAAACTTTATGCATCTATTCTGCTTTCACAAGCCAAAAAATATTATTAAAGATTACTCCACATGAGAAACGAAATTAATTTCAGAAGACCACAATTAATCAATAGAAACTTCAAATTACCCAAGCAAACACAGAGTAAATAATTGGACTTTATAGGAAGCCAAGGCCGACATGTTGAGAAATGATTAGAGAATCCTTACGAGTTCCATTGATACTATTGTACATAGTAAGCCCATATAGCATATATATTATAACACAAAACTCATACATTTCCTTGGATGATTATTTTGTTGTTCTCCAATTAGAATTAGAGTTTTAACTCAATAATATCCATGATAATAAAACATTAAAAATCAGCCTAGATTATTGGGGTGAAATTCCAATTCTGATTGGAAACCAAACCAAACCAAAAGCATAAAAGGAACTCCATCTAATCTTTGTCCTAGATTATAATGGTCGCAATAGAGTGTAAACACAAATACCTTGACATAGAACATCAATCTCCATGTCTATCATGACTATATTTTAACCAAAACCATTCAAATCCCAGCTACAGATTACTTGAACTAGCATATAATTTCATATAAAAAAAATACATTTACAAGAAGAAAAACCATTAAAATCGAAAGAATCAATATTGTAGAAAGAAGAAGAGGGGCACCCTCCAAAAAATTCACCACGAGATACAGTATAACAGAGGAAAAGCCTTGACCTACGAACCCAAAACAACAACCCCTTTGACAGAACAAGAAAAGGGTGGAAAGTGAAAACCATCACAACCAAATTCAGAGCATAAAACCCTATTTGCAAGGCATAAAAGGGTGGCTAAAACTCAAGTTACACTTCATGAAAGCGGAGAAAGTGAAGGGTAGAAGCAAAAAACTTACCTTTTTGGAAAGAGTAGATGAAGAGAAGGGTGGGAAACTGTTGAGGAGTTGGGTTTGTTTCAGGAAGGTGGCTATGACTTTGGTTATGGTTCTGTGTATCTTTGTTTGTTTTTTGTTTGTTTTATTCTCGTCGTCAGAACACTGTACTATGTTCGTATGAGACTATTATTATTATTACCAACAAAATACTTCGTAGAAATTGGGTGTAATTGAAGATTAAATTTGACTTATGAACTTTTCAGGTTGATTTGTTGAAAAAAGTAGTTGCTAAAATTTAATATATTATAGTTAAACGAAATCATTTCAAAGTTTGAAATTGTCTTTTTTTTTTTTTTTAACGTGGAATTTAAACTGGTTTGACTAATTCTTTATAATTTAAAACTATTAATTTAACATTTATCAAACATTTTTAAAGAACCATGACGGTATATATTAAAATTGGATTTTAAAAATTAGAGTTGGGTACGCAGTAAATATACTGATACGATTGTTTTTATGGTAATCATCTTTTATTATTTTTTATTTTCTTCATTATGTAACATTTCAATGCTGTTGTGACTTTTATACAAAAAATTCTCTTAAAAGGCTTCTATTTGGTGCCGCAAAAGTCAACTCAAATTGTTTTCTAGCTTAAACTTTGGGATAGGGCTGCTGAACAAGAACGGAAAGGGAGGATGAATTAACGATAAAAAAAAATATATATATATATATATATATATATATATATTAATTTTATTAAAATTATTATTAATTTAATTTTTTGTATTTAATTTTTTTAAATTTATTGACTATTATTATAAAATAAATATATATAATTGAGGAGGTATAAATACATTATTTAACTTCAAAATAAAAATTATTCACTTGTTATATTCGTTACTGATTAAATTAAAATATTTTGTGCTATAATAATAAATCAGAAAATTGTATATTAGGTATTTGCCAAAAATTAACTTAATGTACACATTTAAATAACTATCATTAAAAAATGATAACCATATGTCCACCAATTCATATATTATGTAATATATATGAAACTTAAAAAATATAAAAAGAATTATTGTTAACATTATTGTGAAAGTACACATTTCATTAGAATTGATATTAAAGTGATTTATAAATTATATTTTAATCATTTTTTTTAGTTTCAATAATTAATGTAGCAATAACAATGTTGTACGTTTTAAAAGACTTATAATTATTTATTCAAAATATTTTATAGAGTGACATAATTAGATAGCTTATATTTTATGGGAAGAAAGAATGTAGCTAATAATTGGTTGATGAGTTTCTCAACTCCTCACGTATTATTATGTTAGGTTGGTCCATTTCTGACTACAAATGTAAGACTATGTCGGTGATGAATTTTTTTTATTACTCTTGAGATTAAAAAAATTAAGGTTATTAAATCCTCATCAATTAACTTAATAAAAATTACAATTTTGTTGTCTTTATCTTAATTTTTTGTGGATTATAAATTAATTAAAATAATTCCTCAGCTACCACTCGAAATTTATAAAGGTGTGTTGCATGGAATAAGGAACTAGGGTCCACTTAACATTATCAGAGATTGATGATGTGAAATAAAATATAATAAACCAGACATAACAATTATAATTCTAACAAACAAAGGACACAATAATTATAAAGATAATAATTAAAAAAAATCATACATGATGAAAAAAAATTGTTGAACTAGATAAAAAATCTTGGAGTACTTTAAAATAAATGCTTTATTGTTATTTTAATAAGAAATGAGAAGAAACACATTGTTATAAATTTATTAAGTTGTTGGTAGAATCCAAAGAGTTTTATGTAAATTAATAACACATTTATAATTTATTATTAGCTTTGACATTTAGTCAATAATATCTTAATTCCAAAAACAAAAACTGATAAATAAATGTCTTTTTGTTTTCTTTTGAATTCTCCAAAATGGTCCTATTCTAAATTTCTCAAATTTTATTTCAGGTTGAGAAATTAATTATGCATCACAATTAATTATGAGATTAAGCAGATTTTATAGCTTTTGGGTTACTAAATAATTATACTAAGTTTTAATTCCATCTTGCTTCTATAATAAAGATATCCACTAATAAATCATGTGGCTTAAAATTTAATTTTAATTATAATCAATCTAATAATAATATTTTTATTCAAAATCAATTTTGTTGAACACGTTTTCAATACTACACACAAAATAACATGTTAAATCTGTTTCAACGTTCATTTATATTAGGATTACTTGTAATTCTATATTTTACATTTTGATCCCTTTTCTTTTTTTCTTCACAATTTTGGTTCCTAATTATCAATGGTTTTGGTCCTCATTAGACTTTCTTTCTTTTTACACAATTTGAATAACCTAATTTGTATTTATTTATAATTTTGTTCGATTTTCAGTTTCGTTATTCATAGTTTTTCCTTACTTTGAACATAGTATATAAAATTAGAAAAATGTGTAATACACGTGACTTTTTTTATAAGACTGAATAAAATAGCACATGTATGATTTGTTATCAAATGTAAGTTAATAATAACAATTCAATATTATTTTAAATCTAAAAATTAAAGAAAGTTACATATAATTAAAAATTAAGAGATCAATTGTGTAAAAAGAATCTGAAGATTAAAATTATGAATTGTTAAGAGACTGAAATCACTTATAAAAAATAAAACAAGAAATTAAGAATTTTATAAAACATAAAAACCAAAGTTACAATTAGACATTCATATTATATACTTGTAACATTGAACCAAAATGCTATTAATTTGGGCCAATCCAAGAAAACCAGGATAAAACCTGTTTGTTCTATCTTCAGATTAAATTCTTCATATTCTGTGTTCACATGTAAAATGAGAAGATTAATTTGGAATCACATTTAATTATGTTTAACTCATTAAAATTAAGTTGGTCCTATCAAAATTATTTTTTCTCATCTTTAAAACAAAGTGAAATATAAACATTAGATAAACTTAATCTTAGAAATTTTAATTTGCATGGAATTCCCATACCACACACCCTTTAAAAATAATACAAAACCGGTATATGATTCAAGAAACTGCTGCAATAAATTAGATCCATCATGTTGATTTATTTTTTCTTATCAGAAAGATCTCTAAATATGATACAGTTCAAATGCAAGTTATCCTCTAAATCATAACTAATTACATAAACAAAGCTCCTTTGTTCTATGACAAAAAGGTAGCCATAGTTTGATTCTTTATCCTAGACACACAGTAATGCCAAAACTATCCTATAAAGAATGGCAGAAACAAACCTTACAGTGACAAGAATTTACAAGACACTGCTATGCTTGATCATTGTTTGTTGTTTCAAAATTCAACATTGGCAACCACACATTCTTGTGCTACCTTCACATGAACTCAACTCAAACATAAAATATATAAACAAAAAATAATTTATGGACACTTAAGCCCAATATACACCCAAAGAAAGAGATAAAAGAAAGGAAAGTATCCATGTAGAATGTGATATGAAGAGAGATAGAGGAAGGGTATCAATTGGGTGTATACACTATAAGTGTCCATATACCATAACTCAGATATTAAAATCTGATCAACCTCTCTCCCCTTTCTAAACTCACCTATTCCACTGACTTTTATCTAACGACTTCTTGGAAGTGAATCCTGATGAGTCAGTTCATAGTTTTCATTTGTAGAAAGCGGAGTCTCACTGTCCTCAATATTTGCTTTTGAACAAAGGAAGAAGAAAGAAGATGTGTATATTGAAATATGCCAAATGCTGAAAACATTTCAAAAGAGAGTAACATGAGGTAGGGAAGACAGAGAGAGAGGATAGAAATAATTATGTAATACCTGTGCCAAAACCAGTAGGTTTCACTGGTTTCAAGTGTCCAGCTTATCGCTGCCATGGCCAATGCAGTAAAACCAGCCAAGGCAAAAGCCAAGTGGTACCGTCTCAAAAGTGTCTTGACAAGATTATAGAGCCACCCCTTTATGGTTTGGAAACTGCAGTGCAAGTTCATTACTATCA